GCAAGCGGGACAGGACTACCGCCTTCCCCCGAACACAATGCATACCGCCTTCGCCCGAACACAACGCACCCTCATTTTGGCCGCACCGGACCGGAAAGATGGTTAGTATACGCTCATCATCTCTGTATTGGGTGCGTTGTGTTCGGGGGAAGAGGGTAGGCGGGAATCATGACGTCAATCCGGAGAGGCGAGGGGGAGAAGGAACAATACCTTCTTCCCCCGAATAGAACGCCCGGTCGTTATCTCTGTATTTGGGCTGACATTCCGTCCAGATGCAGCGATAATGACCTTTGTCGTTATATTCGGGGGAAAACGGTAGGGGGAGGTCAGGTGCCTGGTCAGGCAGGGAGGAGAAGGTGAGAGACCTGCGCCGAGAAATAAACTGTGCGAGTAGCAGGAGAAGGACAAAGGGGGGAGGGTCGGGATAAGGAACCAGAAGGATGAGAGGGTCGGGGTGCGGGATCAGAAGGATGAGAGGGTCGAGATTTGGTCGGTCGGGATGGGAATGCGGCGACAGAGGAAGGAGAAGGAGAGTCACTGGGATAGGGTGAAGGCTGCAAGGGGTGAGATTGCCAGCGTCAAGGAGGTTGTAGGAGGGGGGGGGGGAAGACATCGAGGAGGAGATGCTGAAGCAAATGGGAGGAGGATGTAGGTCGGGGACCCAATTTATGAAGAAGGGAATGGGCGGAGCGGATTGGAAAGGGGGGGAGGTGGGGCGGGGGGGGGGGGATGTGGGATCGAAAGGAGTAGGAGGAAGGCAGGGAAGAAGAGATTGGAAGGCAGGTACAGGGGCTCAGGGCGGAGGAAGGGGAACAGTTTTGTAAGGAAAGGAGGAGAGGGATAGGGTGAATGTGGATATGCAGGTGATGGAGGAGGAGAGCAATGGAGAGAGAGAGAGAGAGAGAGCGATAGACAGAGGAAGGGAGGACATGACATAACAGATGGAGCCACATCGACTGTCGGAGGAGTAGAAACTCGAAGAGGATCCCGAAGGAGGAGAGAAAGGCGTGGAGAAAGGCGGGAAGGGATAGGCGACAGACCAAGGACTAGGACAGAAGAGGATGCAATGGAGAAGGAAGGACGTTAGAAAAGCGAGCATTGAGAGAGAGAGTGTGAGAGAGAGAGAGAGAGAGAGAGAGAGAGAGAGAGAGAGAGAGAGAGAGAGAGAGAGAGAGAGAGGGG